TTATGCTGTTTTAGACATGTGAACGTGAGGAAAAGAGTTGGGTTTTAATACACCTGTAGGTATTTTTAAGTGACACAAGGGAAGCACAGCTGTCCTGTAATAAAATAGAATGAGTAGAAAATTTACAGGATATATTGATATTCAGCTGGATCAGAAGTTTTCTCATGCTTTGGAAAGATATGCTAAAGGTGGACAGACAAAGCAATTAAAATAGTGTCAGCAAATGTGATAAAGGAATTATGTTGTAATTGCCAAGACAATGAGGGTTCAAAGGTGTAGAGCCCCTAAAGGTACAGGGGAGCTGCTTGCCTTGAATAACATATAAACATATGTGACAGTGTAGTCCTTGGAGAAGCAGGAGAAGAGATGTTAGACACTTCAACAGTTCTTCAAGACACACTTGTTGGATCTTCACTGTCTTGTCTATGAGATAATGGCCTTTTCATGCCTACCACTGATACTGAATTAGCTAAAATAAAATCTTCCTACTCTTAGCATGCAACTAATAGAAATATCCTGGTTCCAAAAAGTTCTATAGAGTAATGTGGACTGATGTGGGTTGAATGGGGCTCAATTTAAGGCAGGCTTTAGTCCTATACTTTCAAAATTGGATGAATGGGAAGTTGATATTTATTATTAATGGCAGTGTAAAACAAAAACAAAATAAAAGACAAAGATACAGTCTAATTCTTTCTTTCAGGAACCTCATATGAGTGTTGATATGACTTATCAACACGATTTTTGAAAAGATAATTTTTTCTGGGAAAGATGAGTCAGACCAAGGGAAAAGTTTGGTTTTTCTTTCAAGACACTTTAATGCCCTTGATAATTAGAAATATTTCCTATTAGAAATAGGATCACATTCTTTTTTTTCCTGAATTTTTTTCTGGAACCTGTAATTGAAAATACTGAAAATTTTTAGTCTAGCTAAACAATTTTCAATGCTGTCTAAACACTAAAGTTACTGTGTCTGTCTTGTCCACCATCTGCCAGAGTTTTGTATCAATTACATGAACTAAATAAAATACCACTACAATTTAATTTTATTTGATGACCAGTTATTAAAAACCCTCCATCAACTATTGCAGGCACAGCTCCTGAGAACTACTTTTCATCAATGTCTTATCTCTTCCACCCTCTCCCTCTGTTAGTGTGATGGAATTTTCCTTCAATTTTGTCACACTTATCACCCTCTGTTGCACATTGTTTTCTAAAATAATATTTCTGCCTACCAAATCCAAGTTTCCCAATTGTTTCAGACCCTCTTCCCTTCTAGTAAATTCTAAATTCTACTTAGTTTCCTAGTTTGTCATATTCATCTCGGGCAGAGCTCTCACTCTGCCAGTATATGCTTCATTAATTAATTACCTGGAATGACTTCAGGCTCCTGGAAATTACTTGTCTCTTTAAGAGAACAATTTGCACAGAGACTACAGCGCTAGACATTCACACACTTCTTGAGTTTTCCTGAGAAATACCTTGAAACATTCTCCATCATCATGGGATGATGTCTTTGTCATATAATTACCTACAATTTACGGCCTGCTTTTGCATTTTAGATGTGCAAGACCTCAGACTTTGGGTTAATAGAGAGAGTATTACTGTAACCTAACCAGCCATGTAACTCCTGAGCACCACTGTTCAAACATAACAAGGCTGTTTCTTCTATCCTTTCTTTATGGCTCCATGACACCACCTAGATTTTGTATAATTAGTAATATCTTTATAGAATTAAGTAAGACCAAGTGCTGCATAGTACCCAGACAAAAAGAAATACATTGTCAACTGCTCTCTCCTTCAGCCACAGAAGCTGGTGTTTGTCCCATAAAAGACAACAACTGTACTTCCTTTCCCAGCCTTCATTCATTCATGCCTTGAAAGCCCAAACCCTAACACTGCATTTCGGTGACAGAGGTCTTTACTAACCCACTTCATTTTGTTTAGGTTGGCCTGGTCCTGAAGACCATGTTGGTTTATAGCCTCCGTTGCTTTCAGCTATTAATGCAGAATAAAAGATTTCACTTTTTGCACCAGTGAGCTGCACCCTCATATACTACCTAGGCTAGTGACAGTCAGTCATTTATTCAGCAATCCAACTTACCCACTAGGAATTCCCTACATAACACTGTACTTCCCAGTCACTGGTAAAAAAAATATCTGGCAGCAATTTATAATAGTCATCAACACCCCCTCACAGTCAAAAGAGAAAAACTTCTGTTTTTATGAGAGGCTAAATACCATGTTAGGTTGCATTAATTCCTTATAGGCTCTAAGGAGAAATGTCTTGTTCTTTATAACTGCTACCTATTTCAGTGCAGTTCTTACAAGTTACATAATATGTCTAACATAACTAGCACATATAGCATGAGTTTGTACTGGTAACCACACATCCATTCAGAATAAAGCCTTCACATTTCAAGACTACACTTTAGTGCTCCATTTGCACAGAGATAACCGTGTAATGGAACACAACTTCTGGGAGTTTTTAGCTCACAGACCATTTGGAAATTGCACACAGTGTATTTCTAATCTTCAAAAGCAGGCCAGTATCAGTAACAGGCATTGACACTTTAAGTTAAATATATGTTACTGAATGGCATTTTTTTTTTTAATTGCTTTAAAGATGATGCATATTTGTTAGTTGGGTAGCCAGTAGCCAAGAACCAAAAGCTCAGGTGGACTTCAGATTGTTACTTCTAGAACAGGACAGGGACAGTTATTACAATTAATCAGCAGAGGTCCCAAAATTAGTGCATCAGGGGATTGTATTTTAGGCTCATTGCATATATAACACCATATACCTAAACTGTAATAGTATCATAAAATTAATTGAAAAAAAGATATTTTCTTTTGATTTAATTCAAGCTGATTTAATTTAACATACTAGTGGAAACATTATACTATTTTTAAATTATTTGGTGTAGCATAAACTCATATCTCCATTTATTTCTCTATATTTTAAGGCACCTTTAATTTATGACTGTGACCTTGACTTACAAAACTGGTTAGAGTTTTGAATGCTAACACTATATTTGGGCATTTAAAATGTAAACATGACAAAAATTAATTATCACAATAGCATTTTGAATATGCTGCTATTGTTTGTAGTATATTACATTACAGTAGAATTAGTAGGCAGAGTAGAAAATCAAAATAAAAAGCACGCATTAGAGATGAATGAACCAGATTTAGTGAAATACATTTTGACACAGCAGTTGTTTCTTGACAGTTCAATGAGTTTTATTCAAGGAATATCACTTCTGGCTGTAATCTACATGCTTCAAGCAGTAATCTGCTTTACACACGACTGCTTTTTGTCTGAATTCATGCAAAGTTCGATAAGATATATACCTCTGATTTTTCACAGTTTATGCCATTTAATAGTGAATTCTAACTGTGTTTATGGAATATCATGCAATCAATAAGAAAAGCAAGTGTTTTCTTGCACATTTGATATGTCCCTGGAGCGGCTTGAGCAGCGTCTGATCTTAATTACTTATTTAAAAGGATATGGTGGTATCATTTTTATCATATTCATACAGCCTCAAAAAAAAGTGCCAAGTAATTCAACAGTCAGCCTGAGTTCATTTGAATACCCTTTATAAGGGTTCTCCCCAAAAGAAACATCAAGAATTTAGAAGGAAGAAGAAATGTAGAAAACATTTTTACATTTATAAACATTAATTCTTAGCTCCTAGGTTCATTCAGCACAGATAAGAAGAGATGAAATGTATCTGAGTTTTCAGGTTAGCAGATCACGTCCCTGAATGCCATTAATAGGTGTATTAAAAGAGTAATGAAGTCACTGAATATAATGGGGTAAGATTTATGCCCACACAGCAAAGAGGTTACTTTCTTTGCTGAAACTCAAAATGTCAGTAATTTTGGGCAGACAATTACTCTTAGAAGGTTCTGAACAATATACTTGAAACAGCAATTTGTTACTGAAAGGTTAAAAGAATTTCTGGTTCTCAACAGTTATTTTCAGCAATTTATTAGTATTGGACTAAAGCAGAAAGGAAATATTGCAAAGAAGCAGAAAGCTATATAAATTAGATGAAAAAATTATCCTTCTGGTACCTTCTGGTTCATTCTAGTATATGTAGCTCAAACTTGAATGAGAATATGAAGCCTTTTTTCTCTAGCTGTAATAACCAGATAAATTTTATTTAGGGAAAAAAAAAATAGATTGAAATGCCTGGGAAAATTAACATCACATAGTCAGAAGAAATAGGGATATTTTCCCCAATGATATGCCATGCAAATTTTTATCTGAGAAAGGGAAATAGAAGGAAAAGGTACTTGTCCTTTGTAAAGTCTGGGCCTTGATTAGTATGTATTTTGCTGTTGTATCTAATCTTATACACATGCATGAGGTATGGATAAGTGCAGGAGAATGAATATTGAAGCTGAGTGGTTTTTAATATCATTATATATCACATCAGTTAATATGAGAAGATTATAATCATTTGCTTTCCCATGTGTTGTTCCAGTTTCAGAGAAAATCAGTTTTTCAATTCAACTAATACTACTGCAGAATTTTAATTCATTCTTGTCTTTGAACAATTTGCACTTAACCATTCAAATTGACATAAATCCATAAACATAACTTTGACAATCCATATTTCACCTCAAGTAAAAGCAGGAAGAGATCTGAGTGTGAAGGGCCTATTTTGTCCTTCATGGTCTGTGGAGAAAAAGATGTTCCCAAGCACACAAGAGATTTGGATGTTTAGCTAATTTAAATGATTTTGTTGTATCCATTAATAGACCATCTAATTATTAAGATTTAAAAGAGTTTCATAAGACAGCCATTTTGTCTCTTCCAATTCAGTGTGGTATAGAATAGCAGATAAATTTTGTGATTAACGAGTATAAGCAGGCCCTCTGTATTACCTCCTTTTTATAACATTTATTTTAAATATTGTAATTTGATACGCTAATGCTTTTCAACGTTTGCAACTAACTTAGAGTTTATTTGTGATTTTTCTTTGTTTTAGTTGGATACACAATGAATGATCTCATTTTTGAGTGGCAAGAAAAGGGAGCGGTTCAAGTAGCTGAAGGTCTCACTCTGCCACAGTTTCTATTGAAAGAAGAAAAGGATTTATGTTACTGCACCAAGCATTACAATACAGGTAGGAAAGAGATTACAACTGAAAGACATTTAACATTTATTGTTATAATAAATGTCACAGTTGGGTTGTATTTTAAATGTTCTCACTGAATTCAGAAGAGGCTTAAAAAACACAGGTGTATTGTGCAAGGTAATGCAGTCTTAAATAACTGGCAAACCAAAACTACCTGAAGACTGAACAAACTTCAATTTTTGGTACCTTAAGTAAATATAGAGTTGAAATAATTCCAAAACTGTTCAGTCAGGAGTTTTACTTATTCAGTGGGTGTGGTGACCCCATTTACAATGTGGGATTTGAAGCACTGCTAAAGTCCAAAGGTCTACACGCTTTGCACGAATCATAGCCTGGCTCAGTCAGGAAAAAGGGACACAGCATGGCTGAGCCAAGCTATTCCTGCCTTAATTCATGCAGCAAGGGGGCAATGTGAATGAGCTGAAAGGATTTTAGTGTGCAATGGCAAGGTGTCTACAAGCTAGACACGAGCATGCAGTGACAGGACAAGAGTGAATGGATTCAAACTGAAAGAGAGTACGTGTAGATATGAGGAAGAAATTCCTTTCTGTGAGGGTGGTGAGGCACTGGAACTGGTTGCACGGAAAAGTTGTGGATACCCCATCCCTGAAAGTGTTCAAGGCCAGGCTGGATGGGGCTCTGAGCAACCTGGTCTAGTTAAAGGTGTCCCTGCCCATGGCTGGGGAGCTGGAACTAGGTGATCTTTAGGGTCTCTCAACTTAAGTCATTCTATAATTCTCTAATTCTATGATTCTGTGATACTGAATCATTGCCTTTGTTGAACTGAGGTATTTAGCTCATCTCTGAGATTATTTGAAAAAGTACGGGATTAATATTAATATTATAGTTATTATATTTTTATATTTAATTGTGAAAAACTATATCAATAACTGAATCACGAGCTTAATAATCCTGAAAAGCAAAGCCTAAGTTGCATATTCTATATATTTTCTTGAGAAAAAAAAAATAAAAAGTTAAAGGTCTTCCATTCTAATCCACGTATCTTTAAATTCTTGCTCTCCAGTATGATTAAACATGTCTTAAAATTCAGCAGAATCATTTGGATTCTGCTGAAATGTCAGGGAGAGAAAATCAAATAAATGGTGTTCATAAGGAATGTCCTGCTACAATCAAAATTAAAGAGGAGTGCTTTCCAACACTGAGTTGTATCGCAACTGCAGTAGTGCCCTAAGAGAAGGGAAGGTTCTGTCATAATGTCCATTTAGAATAGGATGATACTGAGAGAGATATTTTGAACTGTTCCCTAAAATAAATTGGAAATACTTAACGTGCACTTCTGTTGTACAAATACTAATATTTGATTAATCCTTAAAAACCTTCTAAAATATATGATACATATCCTATAGCAGAATAATTTTTTCACTCAGATATTTCTTCATTAATGATAAGATAGGAATTCCTATTATTCCTTTTTTCCTTTCTACCATAATCCTTATGACAAATAAGAAAATTTTATTTTCATTATTTTCCACTGTCTCCTTTGAAATATACAAGCAACTTACCCTTTTTTTTTGGATTCTCCTGTTTTTATGTCATTTTAATGAGTGTCTGTAATTGTATTCTATATCCTGTATATGATATTAACTGATGAGAAACCATGGTATAGAGTATTTTTCTCCTTTTTCTAAAGTTCATTTTCATAATATGATGCATCAAAAACCTCTGAGAAATTGAGACATTACTGTGATGCTTAACCTGATACTGAATGGAAACCTGGTTTAAAATTTCAGAATTTCCAGTGATTTTCAAACCCTCCATCCAAAGCTGAGTTGTACTCTTACTCATTTGTCTGAGAACTTACATTATAATTGTCAGAGTTTAAACCTTGTGATTTTGACTAAAACTTCATTTTTTCAGTATTTTGAAGGCACAACATTTTTCTTCACAACCTATGTTTCAAGCCTATTTAACCTGCTATTTTTACCTAAGGAAAAATAGGAAAATATGCTATACCTATACTAGACTAGGTTACTTGGGGTCAAATTGTATATGCTGTTTGTTCACTGTGGCCCTAACCTGAGTGGAGAAGCAGGAGCAACAGATGTTATTAACTGCATGTGAGGGCCTCATGGCTCTCAAGATGTGGCTGCAAGTGTGCTTGTCTCCATGCAATTCTGTCCCATTTAGGTGAGAGGAGGGGACAATAAGTCTAGAGGACAGTGTGGCCAGTCAGCAGCCTGTTGTATTCTGTATTGCTTTGGCCAAACTGCATTTCTGTGGCTAAGCATGCTCTAAGAGGTGAGTGCAACCTACAGCCCTTGAAAGATGAAGATCAAGCCTGTACTGAAAAAGTAATTGGACCATTTAACTTGTCCATAAAGAAATCAAGGTGTTTGGTAACACAGAAACCTTGGAAGCTTGGATGCAGTTAGAGGATGGAAATGTTAAAAGATGTCAGCAAAAAAATTAAGCAATTGCACAGCTGTGGGACCTGCCTGTGATGGACAGAGGGGAAAATTGTGATGCTGATGCTGAGCAGGAGGTGGAAGGGTGTGTCTCACCAGTGGAAGCAGCTGAGTGGCCTGCTCTGAGTTACAGCACCAAAATTACAGGTACAGAACTTTGTCAGGGCAAATTAGAAAGAAAAGGTGGGTTTACCCATGAAGGACTACATTTATTCAAGATAAAAGTATTTTGTCCAAAGTATTTTTTTAATTCAAATGTTCAGTATGAAGCAAATTTAACCAGATTAGAAGGGTTTGGTTTCTAGGAGAGTAAGAACTCCTTTTAATTCTTTGTTACAACCAATACTATTAACTACCATTTGTAGGCTAAAACCCCATAAACATTATATTAAAAGACAACAACAACTATTTTCACTGTGTTACTTGGATACATCATCAGTAATGTGCTTTTTAAGTCTTCTGCAATGAGATATTGCAGGAAGATATGCCTTTAGGACACTTCACAAGAACAAAAATTTACAAAAAGCAATTTTTAAAATATGATGTGAAGTCTATTTCTCTGGCCTATGACAGATTAGATAAAATGAATTCTTAAAATAATGCTAAGCAACTGCAGCTGGTATGTAGTAAGTGACCAAAGAAGAGTTTTCAAATTAAATTTAGTTACAACACAGTATGGAAAGCTCTTCTGAGACATCCTGTAAAACAAAAAAAAATCCCAAAATTCTCCCCGTGAAGCAAATTAACATGAAGCTTCAGGACAGTATGTGGAAAGTCATCAGTGCGTGTCTCATCAGTGTTTCATGCCCAGTTGAAAATGGTTCACTGTAACCAGAGCTCAAAAAATAAACTGTGTCTAAATATAGAGATATGACAGTTTCAGCAGCAGTACAGCAAAATGGCTCATCAAATCTTGTGTTCTGAGGTGACACAACAACATTTCTGATAATTTTCATTTTTTGCATCCACAGGCATATGCACAGTGACCAATTTGGAAAGTGAAGTAGAATCATAACAACCAGAAATATCACACATGAACCATTTGCATTACAAGGATGGTCTTGTTTGCCACATTCCTATGTGACATTAATTGCTTCTCTGGGCTATTATGCAACACCTAAATTTTATTGCAATCACAGATAATTTCAATCACAGCTGCAAAAAAGCTCGTTGTTTTTTTTTTGGAAAAAAAAAAGCAAATATACAGTAGCATGAATTTATGCATAATAGCATTGGCTCAGAGGCACAAATGAGTCTTGGCTTTACTCCTGTGTCATGGATAATGCTTTACACCCACACTTGAGAGATGCTGCTCAGAACTGTCTTAGGTCCAATAATGCCTTTTGGATCAAAAAATTGGATGTAGTGGTCCTGGAAACAGGGGAGCTGTGATTGCTGCCCTCACCACCAGGACTGATAAATTCTCTACATGCCCATTTCTGATAATTGCAATCTTGATGAACAACATGTTTCCTTAGCTCCACACTCCCCATCTGATTTTCTAATATGCACATCCCAAACACAATTTTTTCTCATGATCCCATTTGTCCTCCCATAGCCAAAAAAGTTGCTTCACAAGCTGTAGAGTGTGGCCCTTCTAAGTCTCACCTTCGACTGACCTAGTGCCTTATATTCAGCCAATTTGCTGCCAGCTTGATGACAGTGATTAGAGGAGACATAACTTCAATGTCTTACTCTCACAACAATTCAAATCCTTACTTGTGTTCACAAACACCTAAAACACTCTTTTTGAGACTATAGGAGTGATTTTTAAGACATTACTTTTTAACTCCCTCAGGTTTTTTTCATAGACCATTCCTCCAAAAAGGAGGTTTGTACTTTTTACCCAGGAGATAGTCTATGGGTGTGAAATCTCTGAAGCTGCTCATTCCTTTGCTGAAAAAGCAGGAAATATAAACACTTTTGAAAACAGTCTGTGGCAGGCTGATGATGTGACCATCCCTAGATGCACGAAATAGCACTTCCTGACTCCAACAAGGCATTTTTCTCAAGGGCAAAGAGGCCTCAAATGTCAACCTTGCACTGATCAAAATTTGAGCATTCTACTTTAAAGATTCATTGAATAAAAAATTCATCGTGTGTCCTGGAAGTGGAAACATCACATCTAGATGCCTCCTTAGTTTCTATGTCTCCCCTCTCTGCCCCTGTTAACACAGTGCAGCACATGACAAGTCTTTCACATCACAAGACTTCTGTTCAACTTGACATCTCTCAGGCTCCCAGGCCCAGTAGACCTGCTGCCTGCCCAGTCCACCCCCAGCCTGTATCAGGGCAGGGGGTTGCTCCATCCTCATCACAGAGCTGTGCATTTGTCTTTGCTGTGATGTTGTGCTGGGTTCTCCAGCCCACAAAGGTCCTGCTCAATGCAGCTCAGCTCTCCATTCTGAGGGACAATGCAGCTCAGCTCTCCATTCTGAGGGACATGAGAACTGCAAGTGCAAATTTATCAATTTAACTTTTTCATATCTATTTTCAGCTGTCTTTTACTGCAATCATTATCAGTCTTATGCCAATGTCAAGTTAATCACCTGCCTCCAAATT